TTAGTTGTGTGTGTGATTTGTGTGTGTGTTTTGTGTGTGTGTTTGTGTGAGTGTGTGTGTGTGTGTGTGTGTGTGTGTGTGTGTGTGTGTGTGTGTGTGTGTGTGTGTGTGTGACAGGGCTGAGGTCTCCCTGAAGGCCGCAGAGGTCGACACACTGAACGACAGACTGGCACACGAGCAGAAGAGAGCCAGAGAGCTGCAGTGGGCTTTCGAGAAGGAGAAATGCAAGTCTGACAGGAAGGAGGAGACCGAGAGAGAAGAAGTGGAGGTGAAATATATTGTGTATATTGATGGGTTATAAGCAGTGCTGGGGAAAGTTACTTTTACTTTCAATCTTTTTATTGGTATTCTGTGTGACAATACAGATTGAAATAATAACAAAGTTGAGTGAACCAGAGAGTGAGCATCTTAACTTTTCAAGTCTGATACAGTAAAAAATGTCCTGTATCCACCCGTTATGTCTCGGGGGCGAGGTGTGCTTCCACATAAGAAGGATAGCTCGTCTGGCCAAGATTGTAGCGAAAGCAACAACCTTACAATCTCGGGCTGTCAGATCAGGTCTAAGGGATACTCCAAAGAGGGCTAAGAAGGGATCAGGGTCTATATTAGTGTTGAGAACTTTATTAAATGTATCAAATACACCTGACCAGAAAGTTGCCAGCTGTGGACATGTCCAAAACATATGTAGGTGATCAGCGGGTGAATGTTTGCAGCAGTTACAGGCAGCGCTTGTAGTATTTTAGTATTTTAGTATTTTAATACTAGTATTTTAATTTTAGTATGTAATAGTATTTTACACTGCATCAAACCATGCCTAGCACATAAGGAAGAGGAGTGTACCTGGGTCAAGATGTTACGCCACAGATCCTCTGTAATAGTAACTCCTAGATCATGCTCCCAAGTATCTTTAAGAGCATCAGTGGGGTTCACATTAATTTAATTTATTAAATTATAAATGACTGAGATTAAATGCTTATGGTTTGTGCGTTTCAGGGGGATCTGATATAGTTTAAGATCAGTCAGTGCAAGTTTCTTTCAGTTGAAATTGCTCAGACTTACATTTAAGTCTTGTCTGTGAAACTGGGGGTAAAAGTCTCAACATTTCAGTATAGTTTAAGTCAATGGAAACTTACTGGAAACATTTTAGCAATAAGATTATTATTAATTAACCGTACAGCAGTATTAATTTTGTCCATGAAGATAGTTTGTAAATTTCCTACCATAAATATATCAAAACTTAATGTTTGATTAGTAATATGCATTGCTAAGAACTTCATTTGAACAACTTTAAAGATGATTTTCTCAATATTTAGATTTTTTTGCTTCCTCAGATTCCAGATTTTCAAATAGTTGTATCTCAGCCAAATATGGTCCTGTCCTAACAAACCTTACATCAATGGAGAGCTTATTTATTCAGCTTTCAGATGATGCATACATCTAAATTTCGAAAAATTGACCCTTATGACTGGTTTTGTGCTCCAGGGTCACATTTAGTCAACCTTAGTCCTGTTTTTGTTTCGTCAAGTTTAAGTCAATGTAATGCATGAGCATTTTAGTCCAGTTTTAGTCAATCAAATTTAAGTCACGTTTTCGTCATGCTGTATAATGGTTAAACTGATAAAAAATTGCTGCTATTGAAAACCAATGGTTAAAAATAAAAATAAAAAACACCTCAAACAGTCAGAATAATTAAATTTCACCATATAAAAATTTGATTGCTACAATTTTTACAGATGTTACTGATTTTGATAATGAACATAAATCTACATCTGCATCCTAACTCAAGCTACTATCAAATGTGTATTTCTAAGAGACAAAAAATTTTATATTATTAATATTATCAGGCAACACAAACCTGTTTCTTGATTTGAAACAATATTACTGAACTAAGAAATGATTTTGTTCTGACCATAAAGAATAGTTTAAAACCACAATTAACCGTCTGGTTTTTACAACTTTCACATTGGAGCAAAAATCTGCCTTTAAACTTGAAAGAAATCAAGATTTGACATTTATCGTGATAATTACCGTTATCGACTGATATGAAAAAAGTATCGTGATAATTATCGATATCGACTGATATGAAAAAAATTATCGTGATAATTATCGATATCGACTGATATGAAAAAATGATTGTGATAATTATCGATATCGACTGATATGAAAAAAATTATTTCAGCTCATTTCCAGTCGGAGTGACTGTCAGGTGTCTGAAAGTGAGTGTGATTGAGTAACTTGTAGATCTGAGCTGATCGAGACACAAACTGATTCGGATGCTTCAGTCCGATTTGATGAACTGGTTCGACTAGTTCAAGTAAAAGAACCAGTTCAAAAGAATGATTCGTTCATAAACCGGATTACAGGTTATAATGCTGTAAATAAGTTTCTTGCACAGACTGATTGTTTCGCTTCATAAGACCTCAATATATCATCAGGAGCCACAGGGTTTAATTTTGTGTTGCCTATAGATGCTTTTCTTGACTCTCAAAGTGACGGTAGCCATTGACTTGCATTTTTTGAATCATTAAGGAGCCCAGATTCTTCTTTGCTGTTCTACTGAAGAAAAAGCTACTTGTGCAGGTGTTGTAGCCCATGACCTGTGTGTGTGTGTGATTGTGATAATTATCGATATCGACTGATATGAAAAAATTATTGTGATAATTATCGATATCGACTGATATGAAAAAATTATTGTGATAATTATCGATATCGACTGAGCCATATCAGTGGATATCAATAATCACGATAATTTTTCTCATATCAGTCAATATCGATAATCACGATAATTTTTCTCATATCAGTCGATATCGATAATTATCACAATAAATTGTACATTTAGAAAAATAATGAGAAGCCATAAAAACTTTCATTTGGCCCCTTCATTCAAGTGTTCGGTTCACACATGCGCATATCAGCGGCCAGTGTCATGGGATTAACTATATAAATGATATTTGTCTTATTTAACATATTTCATTATTGCGGGTTTGTATAATATGCCAAGTTTGCATTGATTCTGAGGAACGCTGAATGTGTTTTTGAGTAAACACATGTTGATATTGAGTCTAGAGCTACAGTAAGATCATGTTCTCACACAACGCTCTGCACTGACTCCTGATTTCTGTCACCACGGCAACACCAGAGCTGTCACTCAACACATGGAAACAAAGTAACTGCTGTTACTTATTTGAAAAAGTAACTCTGATATTTCCTTCTAAATTAAAAAGTAATGCACTACTTTACTAGTTACTTGAAAAAAGTAATCTGATTACGTAACTTGTAATGCGTTCCCCAACACTGTCAGCGGCTCTCGGTCCGAGTCAAACTGTTTCCTCAGTTTAGTGACTGTTGGAGGGACTGGAGCACTGAATCAGTTCATTCATTATCAGATACGCTGCTGTTTCAGCTCATTTCCAGTCGGAGTGACTGTCAGGTGTCTGAAAGTGAGTGTGATTGAGTAACTTGTAGATCTGAGCTGATCGAGACACAAACTGATTCGGATGCTTCAGTCCGATTTGATGAACTGGTTCAACTAGTTCAAGTAAAAGAACTAGTTCAAAAGAATGATTCGTTCATAAACCGGATTACAGGTTATAATGCTGTAAATACGTTTCTTGCACAGACTGATTGTTTCGCTTCATAAGACCTCAATATATCATCAGGAGCCACAGGGTTTAATTTTGTGTTGCCTATAGATGCTTTTCTTGACTCTCAAAGTGACGGTAGCCATTGACTTGCATTTTTTGAATCATTAAGGAGCCCAGATTCTTCTTTGCTGTTCTACTGAAGAAAAAGCTACTTGTGCAGGTGTTGTAGCCCATGACCTGTGTGTGTGTGTGTGTGTGTGTGTGTGTGTGTGTGTGTGTGTGTGTGCGTGAGGGGGTTATCGGGAGGAG